TCCTAAAACAGCCTACTCCGAAAGGGTCTTTCTTAAAATTCGTCGTCAAAATTGGCTTTGCAAAATTGAGATTGTAAAATAGAAAAAAAATTGCTCTCAGATGGATTCCTCTTGTTAAACAAGTTACTTTCAGGGGCCTATAACGCAAACTATACAATTGTAACAAGTATACAAGTTACAAGTAATCTGCCTGTAACTATAACTACAAGTCCTGAATTCGGTATATGCAAATGAGTTGTGTTATGAAAAAGCTAAAAGTGTAAAATATATTCTAACTTATTGTAGGACTTGTACGACTTGTGTTACAGGCACACATATTATCTCTCCTTCCCATGGCACTAATGCAACTTTTTAAATAGAATGGTTATACAGACCTGGAAAGCTGGGGTTCAACAAATCTTTCCGATTATCTAAAAACGCATTTCTAAATGCAAGATCACAACAAGCTTGTAACAAGTGATACGACATAACAATATCTTCGCTGTACAATGGATTTTGCCCCTTCACAGTTGTAAAAAGCGTCCAGCAGAATTCGAATACTTTGGTAGGTGTACATAACGGCGCCCTTAAAACGGTTACACTTAGAAATCGACGTTTATACATAACTGAAACTCACTTTGTTTTGCGATTTCGTGATGAGCGCAAGTCCATATCTATCGGCCCTTTGAAGATTTCATTAAATATAGGGGTGAACTTTTTAAATATGTTATACGAGACGGCAAAATTGCCTTCAAGTCGTTTGATCTTCTGCCGGAAGTCTTCGGATAAATTAGCCATATCCGCCCATTTGGTAATTTTGTTAAAGAACTGTGTCAAACTGTAACAAGATTTCGGTTACACTTGGCACAGAGGACACCGTAGGTTTTATTTACGCGGGGATGAATTTCTTACATGATTAACATTCAATGTAGTTGAGCCTTACCTTAAATTACAATGTCGTAGTAGGCTTGTTAGACTTACACAGTTGCCTTCAACTGTGCTACGACTTACAGTAGGAGTCGTCGTCTTTCTACATGCTACAAATACAGCACATCCCAGCCAGTGCAAGGCTTCGCCCTGAAAAATACGAGTCGGTCAATTTCTCCTCTAAGAAGTGCACCTGGTTACCTCCAGACTGTAATTAGTTTGTATGGTTTGGAAACTTTGCCATGCCTGAGTGATGGTGTTAATATCCAAGTTTAATTTCGTACTCAATTCCTGGTGTTTTTTAAATAAATGGTCATTGGAATCTTCTGATAGGACCATTTTTATTGCCCAAAGAACGATATAAATAAACAACAAAATTCACATACGACGCCACATTTGATATCGAAATCGAGCTCAACAACGCGCATCCTCCGCACGAACGGGCGGGAAAATAACCGGGCGATCAATTCCTAAATTGCAAATACGCGCGGGAATGTATTTCGAAGAGCCTTAAAAAATAACGCCCTTGTTAGTATTTACTGTTTTAATAAATTCGATAAAGACAAATTGTATAAATTAAGCCTTTTATAACGGTACTACTTCTTATGACGTTGTACAATCTGGGTGGTGTTTGTTACATAACCCCACATTCGTATATAAAATTTAATTTTTAAATTTGAAATTTATATATCATTTTGTTATCTAAAATAAATAAATAATAAACGTTCAACCCAAGTTAAATCTATCTACAGAGTGTTTGATTTTAGCGCCAAACAACAATAGATTACTTCTCCTTTTGTGAAGGTCGATTTACACCACAGTACAATAAAATTTACACCGCCTTTAACACACTATATTGTGTAGTTCAGACATTGTAATACATATACAATAGTTCAGGCATAATATACATATTTCAAAAGAAATATTGACATCGTCATTTACATTCAGATTTTAAAAAAGGTACAAATATCACATATAAGAAAATCGCTGATAATCTTCTTCTATCTGAACACTTAAATAAATACCTACTAAAACATACAAAAGCATAACCACCCGACTAAATGACTAAGTTAGTCGTATTAGTTTCGCAGATAATACGACCCAACTGTTCGTTGGACCCCCTGTAGCAAGTGGTACTGTGGCGTATTTACGGGAGGGGATGAAGGGGTTATATCCCCCCCCCCCAAGAAGAATTGAGTTATCATCATAGCTATTAGGTATTTAGGTAATACTCCGCTATCCGCTCCGCCCACTTTAAAATAAAGGCAATAATATATAGCTACATATAACGGGTTTACCAATAAGAGCGATAGGATTTTAAATTGAAATAAAACACAGTCAATTTGGTCAAATTTAGGTGTGATTGGTTTTATTAGATGCTGTATTTCATGCCATTTATGATTTAAACAAAATATCGTTCAAATGGCCACCGCGGCTCTTTTTGCACTGGCTCATCCGATCGGACCAATTTTCGATGACTCGGTGGATCATATCGGGTGGAATATGGCAGCTATGGTCGCTCGAATGTTGGCCTCGAGCTCGTCAAGAGTCTTGGGTTTATTCGCATAAACCTTTGACTTCACATAGCCCCACAAAAAGAAGTCCAATGGTGTTAAATCGCATGACCTTGGCGGCCAATTGTGGGGGCCATTTTGAGAAATCAACGATTCACCAAACTGTTGACGCAATAAGTCCATTGTAGCGTTCGCTGTGTGGCATGTTGCTGGATAATTTCCAAGCGTTGAGGCAACGTGAACATGATGAAATGGCAAGCCTTACTGATGACAACTGACAGCATATGTCAAATGTTTGGCATCCAACATAGCCGCCTTAAACGTTTAAAATCCTATCGTCCCTATTGGTAAACCCTATAGAGAGCAATTTTGGTTTTGGTTAAAGTCTAAAGTCACTAAAATCTAAATATTCTGTAGTATTCACTATTCAGTGAGTGATCAGTGTTGGCAGTCAACGATTTGGCTATTCGGCATCGATCGGCAATTCGCTACATTGATGCCCAAAATAGACAATGATACGATAACACAATGGTGTCATTCATCTATCGTATACTTAGAAAATCAAGGAAAGCATATTACCTTACTATGGGTCCCCAGTCATGTGGGCATACAGGGTAATGAGGAAGCTGACAAGGTAGCCCTGGAAGCAACCAAACAGGATGCGGTCGATGTACCTGAAATAAAACACAAAGATTTGAAAAATAAATATAATCGTGTAACTGTTTCCAAATGGCAAGATGATTGGGATATGTGTAATACTCACCTTAAAAACATCAAACCTACCATAGCTAAATGGGATAATCCGGCACTCACTAGAAGAGACATATCAAAATTAATTAGATTGAGAATAGGCCATACTGCAGTAACGCATACATACCTACTGAAGGGAGAACCAGTTCCTATATGTACCAGATGTGGACACGAATTAACGGTAGTACACTTCATTTTTGAATGTGGCCATTTAGAGCTTATAAGAAGCAATTACAACATTAGTGATAATTATCGAGACCTAATGTCGTATTTGAAAGTAATAGACATGTACAATAACATTTAAATTAGCAACAAGAGCTAATGACCATAGCTGTCGAAGCTCAATACAAAAAAAAAAAAAAAAAAAACAAATAGGTATCAGGTACTAGTACTGCTACTGAGGTGAGGTACCTGCTACCTGCCTTTCACGAAATGACGAAAATAAGAATTTTAAATTTTAAAAACAGGAATATTTTTGCCCATAACTTTTGATTCAGACGTCTAATCGAAAAAGTACGAATCGTTTAGGATTCTACGCACCCAAATGAATAAGAAAAAGTGTTTTCCCGAGAAATTTTGGTATTTCGGATCCCATAATTTCAAACAATTCCAAGATTGGGCTACTAGTTCAAAAGTTACAGCTCTTTGAATTTTCTTTCGAAATTGGTTTAGAGTCTATAACTTTTGATTGAGAAGTCTAATCGAAAAAGTTCGAATTGTTTTGGATTCTACGCACCAAAATTAATAAGAAAAAGTGTTTTCCCGAGAAATTTTGGTGTAGTCGATTTTTGGTAAAAAAGGAAGGTTATACACTGCCTTTTTTTTGGCCCAAGAAAAAAATTGTCTCAGATCGACCGGAAAAAAATATTTTCTTATAGAATGTGGCCTGTAGAATCCATAATTTCAAACAGTTCCAAGATCGGACTACTAGATCAAAAGTTACAGCCCTTTGAATTTTTTGTCGAAATTGGTTTTTTTGCCCATAAATATACCTATTATTCAAAGTTTTCGTTGACTAATTAAAGCAAAAGCAATAAAGGGGCCTGTCAGCAGTAAGAAATAAAATACCGTTCTAATCTAATCTTTTTCGCCTGTACAATAATAAATAGATAAATGACTACCAGCATCAGCAACCTGCAACCCAATTTCTATTTCTTACCCCCCCCCCTCCCCCTTCTAGTACGCACTGGGTGACTGAATTGTACCACGAACGAACTTGTTTAATCCCCCCCCCCCAGAATACATTTCTACGTACGCCACTGAAGTGGTATATCGCTAGAATCATTCAAAAAGAGCCTTCGTAATCGTGAAGTCATAACCAACTATTATGTTCATTATAATAAACAAAAATTTCAATCTCTCTTAACTTTTATTACACACGGCTTTTTTGAAATCAATTTTTTTGGACATTTTGTTATACGACCCCATAAAAAGCAACATTTTTAGATGTGGAAAAACATCCTGAATTCAAAAAAAAAAAATATATACAGTATGCTTCAAAACTTCATGTTGGTTGCATGTATTAGATAACAAATGCTGGACGTAAAAAAAGTCTTGTGGGGACAAATAAACACGCCAGTATCAGAATTTATTAAATAACTGTAAACTACAATAATCGCAGCACACCTTCGCAGTTCCTTGCATCACGATCACGACTCTACGCCTGCGTCATCTGTCTCCACTAGTGCCAACATCGTCTTTTTTAATATAAAATTTCAGTTTTCATATAGAACTTTAATTAATAGGAATGTGGCAGTTTTGACAGGAGTCTGGTAACGTGACAGGAGGCCGTAAAACTATCAGGTAAAGTGTTACTGCCTCTGTCTCCCCTCTCGAGATATTCCCATTTGAAGTTTTGACCCCACTAACATAAACGTTTAGTCACCAATTATATCATTATCCTTTTGCGAGTACCCTATTCTGATACTCCGTTCACGAAATTCTCACATTTAAGGTTTAAGCTCATTTGTCTTTTGAAAAATTCCTCAAAAATTATGATTCTAAAACCTTTTTAGGCACGGAAAATTCTTTCTTCGTTACTTCTATACTTTTTAAGATATTGGGTCGTTTACTTACCATTCGGCGCTTAAAATCCGGGCACCTAAGGAGAAAATTAAGTGATTCTCTGACTATTCGACTTAATACTAATAAAAAATCGTTATTCCTAGGTTTATTTCGATGGGAAAACGCCCAAAGATCTTGGAAATTAAGGCTTTAATCTACAAACTAAAGCAGTTTATCAACTAAAGACATTTGTTGATAAATTAGTAAATTAAACAATTGAAAGTATAATCATAATCTTTGTGAATGCATTTAGATTTCAAACATAGTTAATTATTATAGTTTTTTTTTATGAAAACATCATTTCCGCAAGAGCAATTCTACAGTAATTAAACGAATCACTCTCCCTTGCACGAGACCTTGATGTAGTTGTCTTTACTACATCATAACTTTATTAATTAATTGGATTTCAAGTTAATTTATTATTGGTCCCAAATAAAGTTTGAAATCGTGGAAACGATTAAAACAGGTCTATTCGAAGGTCACTATACTGCTACGAGAGGATTGAGTATGGCTACTAGAAGACTGCTCCAAAAACACTCTAGTTTTGGTAGCCGCATCCGAAAGCATACGTTGAGTTCTCTCAACCAGAGATTTAATTTTCCGACTGTTAGGAATAGGTAGATTAGATGACAATTTCACCTCCTCAATTTCGGGCAGTTTCAATGCAAGATAAGGCGCACAATTGGATACCATCATGTGCATCTGCGCAAGTCACAATTAAATAGAAAATCTCCTCCCAAATACTGATTTACCTTTAACTTCGTCTGTTCCAAACATGCCAAACGAAAATTGATATCATTCTTAACATCATTTTCAAGAAAGAGGTTTTTGTCCAGGACAAACTGTAGTGATTTCGTGTTCTCGGTGAACATTTCATGGCCAATCTCGTCCTCTGCTGTTTTTAGATTAGGTCCTTCTTTAACATCGACTCCAATTTTCCAAGTTTTGGGGATTAGTACACTGTTCTGGAGTGGTGGTGGAGGTAGAACAGTATAACTCACATCCCGCAAAGTATCTGTGAAAGACACAATGAGTTGGGCTATATAATTACAGCAAGTCACAAGTAAGTGCGGTCTCAACCATACGGAATTGGTCCTACAATCTCAAAAGTGGAAATAGTCGAATTAGTGCCATCAACATACCGTGAGTCCGCTGCATTTTCTTGAACAATCACCTTTGGTCCCGGGTATATAGAATTACAACCCCACTCTATACTTTTACCCAGCACCTGAAATGACGGAAATTTCAGGCACCGAGATTGAGTACATCTTTGCTCTTTAATTGCCCATAGTTTAAAAACCTGCAACAAAATAGTTCAGACACTGCAGTGCTCGTGAAGAGTGTACAACCCCATCTTTGGAGAGGCTGAAGAATAGTCCTTCCTGCTCAACTATTTTCAGGTCGACAATACCCTTTTGGTGTTCTTTAAGAGTGGCAATTGGCTTATCTTTGACGACAACATTCCAAATTCTGACTGTTCCATCATCACTTCCAGTAATCAGAACTTTTAAACTTGTACTAATTGCAAAACAACTGGCCCCCTGGATAGGCAGTGGAATGTGAAATTACTTGTTCGAAAAGCACTTACTCGGTGCATTTGGAAGGAATAATTGTGCCTTCGGTTTTCTACAGCACGGATTGTAACGGACGTTGTGGCATCTCTACTGGAAGTTACAATAGTGTCGTTTTGTTTACAGTATTCGATTGCAGTAATGCTGTCATGGTGTGGACGTCCTAAGTGACTAATGGTTACAAATTCTTTTTCGTTGTACAGTTGCTGAAAGTATTCTCATTGTCGAAAGCACGTTTGAGCATGTTACTTACAATCCAATAAAAAAAACTGAGCTTATCGCTATGCTTCTTGCGCAGTAATCCATTTTTAGGCTGCAGAAATTCCACACTGAGCAGCTGACCGGAATCATCTCCCATGTACAACGTCAACTTTCCGTTCACAAGATGGAAATGGTAAGCAAGACATTGAACTATATTCGGAAGACCTAAAATTAACCACAAGGCAACATGGGTTAAACCGGATGCGTCATAAATGGTAACGCTCCTCGCCGAGCTCGCAATTAACAACAGAAGCGCATCCTTCAGGAATAGAGCATCGGTAACCCATCGGTTTCTTCTTCTCCTCTCCTTCTCCTTTCTGTCGATATCTTCGCGAGCCATGATCATATGATAAGACGTTTGGAAGTTCATGTTACCATCGTAAAGACCAACGTGGCCGTACTTCGATATGATCGCGTAGCAGAAATATTTTTCTGTTTCTATCAAGACTATTTTGGACACCGTATCTTTCTGCAAGGATTAAGTATTCAAATATTTGCATTGTTTTAAACTAAAGGAATACCTTGACGTGGGGCGGACTGAAAATGCGCCCTACATTGAGGGTGAATGGGGGTTGGTAGTCGGTGGGGGAATTTCCGATTACAAAATTTAAAAATTGGTCCCATGTGATTGTTCCATGTTCTTTCTTGTCAATTTGATTGTAGAGAATTGAAGCTTGTACAGAATGCTTGCAATTACCTGTAAGCAGTACAAGTCTTTTAATCTTCAACAATACTGCTGAAAAGGGACCTATACTGAATCCAAAAATCCAGGGAATAAGATTTCCGGTCGATAATGTGTTATTTAACACATCCGAAAAATTGCAGGATTATAGGCTCCAAATTGAAAGACTCTAAAAAACTGAAAGAAGAATTTGAAGAGATCTAAGAATCTGAAGAGTCTGATGGACCTAAATAATTTGAATTTTTGAAGAATTGTGAAAATCAGAAGAATCCAAGGACTAAAGGAATTGAAAGAGTTTTTTTTAAGTTTCAAGAACAGAGAAAAAAAGAACTTGCATATTCTAAAAAAGCCACTAAGTTCCTAATAACGTCTGCGCACACGCAATCTAATTTTTTGACACGTGATTTCAATTCCCTTTTATAGGAAGCATCTTCCGTTGAATTTTCAGAAGAATTGGATCACAAATACGCGCATGCGTAATAATTTTCTTGCGCTTTTTACTGTACGAATACACAGCCTACTTTTTTATGTACATTTAATTTATTTTTTTTAGAACACACCTTCTTTTGGTGCATCTGCGCATGCACAATCCATTCTTTCAATACATGCATGATAAATAATTGCCCCAAGTAATAACCATGGCTGCCAACAAAACCAACTATCTAAAAAATCTAAAGAATGCGCAGAATTTCCAAAATCTAGAAAAATAAATATAAATTAGGAGAATCACTGTAAAGCTGAACATATAAACTAATGTTTAACAAAAAGGTCCGAAGTTCTTCAGAATCTGAAAGATCGGACTGATCTAAAGAATTTAATTAATCTAAAAACAGACCCAAAAATCGATGATAGAATTCGAAAAAATTAAAGAATCCGTTGAATATAAAATTGATTAATGCAAAAGATCTGGAGAATAAAAGATTTGGAAAAATCTGAAGCATTATGGTGACCCACGAATTTAAACATTTGAAAGAACAAGTCAGAAGCATTGGCAAAAGTCTGATGAACTCGGAAAGTAGACGTCTTCGAAGATTCTGAAGCACTCGGAGAAATAAAAGAATTCGAAGTGAAGAATCAAAAGAAAGATTCTTATTTTTTGTTTTGACAACAAACCGAAGCGGCCAGTTGTACTCAGAAAGTTATGTTCCGCACGGATATACGAACTATACAAAACGAAAAAACATGTCATGATACAAGACAGTTCCAAAAAATACTAATTTTGTGAAAAAATTGTCTCAGATCGACCCGGAAAAAAAGTTTCTTATAGAATGTGGCCTGTAGATCCCATAATTTCAAACAGTTCCAAGATTGGGATACTAGTTCAAAAGTTACAGCCCTTTGAATTTTCTTTCGAAATTGGTTTCTAGTCTATAACTTTTGATTGAGAAGTCTGATCGAAAAGTACGAATTGTTTTGGATTCTACGCACCAAAATTAATAAGAAAAAGTGTTTTCCCGAGAAATTTTGGTGTAGTCGATTTTTGGTAAAAAAGGAAGGTTATACACTGCCTTCTTTTGAGGCCCGCAAAAAAAATTGTCTCAGATCGACCCGGAAAAAAATTTTTCTTATAGAATGTGGCCTGTAGAATCCATAATTTCAAACAGTTCCAAGATTGGGCTACTAGTTCAAAAGTTACAGCCCTTTGAATTTTCTTTCGAAATTGGTTTCTAGTCTATAACTTTTGATTGAGAAGTCTGATCGAAAAAGTACGAATTGTTTTGGATTCTACGCACCAAAATTAATAAGAAAAAGTGTTTTCCCGAGAAATTTTGGTGTAGTCGATTTTTGGTAAAAAAGGACGGTTATACACTGCCTTTTTTTGAGCCCGAAAAAAAAATTTCTCAGATCGACCCGGAAAAAAAATTGTCTTATAGAATGTGGCCTGTAGAATTCATAATTTCAAACAGTTCCGAGATTGGGCTACTAGTTCAAAAGTTACAGCCCTTTGAATTTTCTTTCGAAATTGGTTTCTAGTCTATAACTTTTGATTGAGAAGTCTGATCGAAAAAGTACGAATTGTTTTGGATTTTACGCACCAAAATTAATAAGAAAAAGTGTTTCCCGAGAAATTTTGGTGCAGTCGATTTTTGGAAAGAAGAAAGATTATTTATAGGTATACCTACAATTGAAAACTTCAGTCACTCTCACACAAAAATTACAGTGATACTCAACCAATATCCTCTGAGGCGTTTATTAAAAATATCCTAGCAATCTATAAAGAGTATTTGATGGATTAATTTATTAGTAAGCTCTGAATGTCTGAAAAACTCATCTGAGACCCCAGATCCCTTAGGTTAATCAGACTCTTTAAGTTCCTACCCTTTCTCACACTCTTCAGACTTTGTCGAACGCCCTGTCAATGTCCTAGCATAGTTTCAACAAATTTCGCAATCAGTCTGCTATTACCTCTGACTTGTGTGGTAAAGTAACTCAATTCTAGAATTCTCCAAGAATTAAACAATATACGGTACCACTTCGAGTATTTAAATAAGGATAAAGCAGTTGAATTGCGACGAATTAGAATTAATAAAAACCGAAAACGCCTCCTCCGAAATAATAAGGCCACATAAATCTAAGGAAAAAAAAAGGTGGGCAAATTTCCATTACATTTCCCGCGTTGAGACTCGTAAAGCATTCGCCTTATTTTCAAATTCCAAACCAGAAACTATATCCGTTTTTATTTCGTTATTGGCTAAACGTGCGGAAATTATTGGAGTCAATTTTTGCGCTGGTTTAGAAACAACAACATAACAAATCTTTCATATCACTCGCGAAACTAGCCACGGATTCTATATATATTTTCCCGAGTAATTCTCCGCCTTTATTTTTAATTTGATACCAGCATACGATATTGCATTAAGGAGACGCATTTCTTTTTATGGGCCGATTCTTTATTCCTGTTTATGTCCCTTTCAGAATTTCCTCTGGCTCGGAAGATTTGTAGGTAAATTTATTGTATGGTCCCTCTTAAGCTTCCGGGACAGATTTAGTGTGGTATTTAATATTTTATTGTTAAACTTGGGGATGTATGGGGGGGCGAAAAGGAAAATTTTATCGTGGTGGCTTTCGGAGTGGGGAAATTGACTAGGAATTGTCGATAATGTGTCAATTTTGATCCCGTGATTGGGGTGAGGTCGAGCAGGTGCATTAAGTTAATGGAAAGCTAAAGGGTTGGATATTATGCGAAATAATTAGATTCGTTACTTGCATCTGCTTCGTGCTTTCAAATTGCTCCTTCGTTTCTATGTGTAGCATAAATTGCTGCATTGTCACGTAAACTTAACCCTTTTGAATTTGCGTCACCAGCTCTACTCACGATACTATGGCTTGAAATTTGTAGTCGCGACGTTTACATTAACTTTGTTTTGTGTGTGCAGGCTTTCATCGTGCATTATTAGCTGTACATAACGAGTAGATCCAGCTAAGTGATTAAAACTTCTAAGACTTCGAGTTCTACCACCAGACTGATTGGTAAAAGACGTGAATATCGGAGAACAAACCCAAACATTTAATGAAAATGGGGCATCGTGCCAATAACATCTTAATCGCTGACAACACTGCGAAAACTGTGAGAGTTTCTCTCTCAAGGGGTGTTCAAGTACATTTAGGAAGAATCTCTGAGGTATCTTGGAAGAAGTTGAAGAATATCAAATATCGAGTCCTTAGGAATCTCTGTATAGTCCAAAAAACCTCGCCAGATTCGGGGGGGGGGGGGGGGGGGGGGGGGTCTAGGGAAATTGTATACAAAACATCACCATAGTCTTTAGAGAATCTTTGGTCTATCTTCTTCAAAATTCAGAAGCATACCCTTAGACCTCAAATATTTCAGAGGGTTAAATGAAAAGTTTCCGAAAAACTTTTTAGAATATTGACGGGATTTACAAAAATCCCCCAAGAAACCCAGTGTTACGCACCTATAGGAAGTTTTTGAAAAAACCGCAGCCAAACCTCAAGAGCAGTACTCTTGAAGCGAATCAGCGAAGTCCAAAAAATCTCAAAAATCTGGCACATCAAATTATTCTATAAATTCAAGGAACTCGTTGAACCCAAAGCATCCGAAGAACACGAAGAATCAAAATAATTCTAACGACCAAAATCGGAAGAATCTCTACCGGAAAAACCCGAAGAACAAGCAATTCAAAAAACACGAACAATTCGAAATATCGAGTATAAAATGATCCGAGGGAATCAATTAACCTGAAGAACCCATGTATCCGAGGAACACAAAGAATTCAAATAATCTGAACGAACCTGAAATGAATCTGGTGAATATGAAGTACTCGAAGAAAGTAATCTGAAGAATACGAAAATTCTAACGAATCGGAAGCACCTGAAGCAACCACAGGAATCAAAGAATCGGATGAATCTATGGAAGTCACATGATGATCAGAAGAATACGAACAATTTGATGCGTTTACTACAAGTATTTCGAGGAATCCCAAGAACCCAAAAGATCAGAAGAACGAGAAGGATCCAATCGGAAAAACTCCAATCGGAAGCTTCCAAAAATCTGGACAAGCTAGATGGTACCAATCATCCGAAGAATCCGAAAACCAAAGTATCTAATAAACGGATAAAACCGCCCGATTATAAGAATTTTCATAGTCCAAAAAACCCCGAAAAATCCGAAACAATCTGAACGATCTGAAGATTCCAAAGAATTAGAATAATCCAAAGAATCGGGAGAATCCGAAGAATCCAGTGAATCTGAAAAATTCGAAGAATCTGAACAATTCGAAGAATCCAAAGAATCCGAAGAATCGAGGAATCTGAGAAATCCGATGAATCAGAACAATCCAATGAATCCGAAGAAATTGAAAATCCGAAAAATGCGAAAAATCCAATGAAGCTGAAGATTTCGATTAATCTTGAGAATCCGTAGAAGCAAAAGATTCCAACAAATCCGAAGAATCCTAAAACTCCGAACGATCAGAGGAATCCGAAAAATCAGTAGAATCCAAATAATCAGAAAAATCCAAGTTCCAAAAAATCAGAAGAATCCGAAGAATCCGAAGTAGAAGAAGCCGAAGAATCCGAACAATATGAAGAATACGAGTGATCCGAAGAATCCGAAAATCCGATAATGAACAATTAATACCCAAAAATAATTTATTAAAGGTAAATTTTGGGGATTATTTATGAAATGAGGACGTTTTATTTGAATTTGTATCTCAGTGTTGTTTTGTAGATGTGTAATGGTTTAAATTTTATCGATTTTCAATTAAGATAAGGTAATAAAATATAAGACGCATCTGGGCGTTTGCGATAAGGAGTTTTATTTTCGGACCGAAGTTATTTAACGCACATGCTTCAATGCCTTTAAGAGAAAGCGGAGATAAAGAAGGAGACGGGCGACGCGTTCTTTCAAAGCTGTGATTCTGATTGGCAGTTGATCTGAAAAATGTTAAAGAAGGAGATTACTTTAGAGCTACAATTTTTGTCATTTTATTCATCAAGCTAGTTCAGTTTTATCAAACAAAGCGTGCAGAAACTTTCAGAGTTTTGAGTTTAGTGCAAACCCTTTACAACCAGATTATTTGGATTATTAAAAAAAACTGTATATAATTTTTTATTTAATTGTCGACCGCCTGCTTGCAGGGTAATATGTCCAAACAAGGTTTGTAAGCTCTTCTTAATTTCAAGGATCGTGTTTCAATTGTTTGATGTGTCTCAATTAATTGTATTTTATTCGAATCCTTTGTGCGACCCAGATGCAGTTTTCGTGTCAGATTTTTGTTATTCGTGTCCAAGATTTCAGGTGTTAATCAAAATCTGTGTAGTTAATTCTTTGAAATTTTTGGAAGTTGATCGAGGCTACTTAGTCCCCAAATTATTACCACTAAAAACCAACGTCACTGTCCTACACCTAGAAGGAACGTCGTGAAAGCTAATGGTAAAAGCACAGGAGTGGAGTTGTGTCCATGTCGGCTTACTACTGACGATGAAATATTTTCGGAAAAACACATTCTAAGATTTAATATCCAATTTTCGCACAATCTCGACTTCCGTTGTGTACAGAATGCAACGGGGACGCCATAAATAGCGTTAAAGGCACAATAAAACTGCAACAAAAAGGTCTATCGCGGTTCTTGTTAACTGCACGTGTTGCGAAACTTTTAACCCGTGTAAATTTAAAAATAGAGCGACGTTTATTAAAAGCGTTTTTTTTACGACCGCCTCTTTTTGTCGGAAATTGAACCGAATTCAGCGCACTTTCACGTTTTACGCGGTAATCGAAAAAAAAATACAGCGAACAACACATTCCGCACGATATTTACTGCTCGCGCAAGATCACGCAATAAATTTCGGACAAAATCATACTTGTAGTCCTAATCCGAGTATCGTCCATATTTCAGCGCAATTTGACATTTTCACGACTTCGGCTACCCTCATAATTTTATACTTGATTTAAAGGCCCGTTTGTATGCGAGGATACTTATTTTACGTTTCCAGTCGAATGGAAACTTAATTAAGGTGGCGCACGTGCGATCTTTGGCGAAACCAAAAAGAATCGTGTCGTAGAAATGAGGAAAGTCACGTGTAAATAATTAATTTTCATTTCAAACGTTAGTAATATTAAAATGATGCGGGAGGAGGCGGGTGGAAAGGCAAAATATGAAAACTTCGACTTTAAGGGCTTGTGTAACCAAAACGAACTATTTTGTTACCTTGTCGCTCTAATCCTCGAGCGCTTTGCATTTCCCATACACAAAAATATACCTAGAGGATTAGGAGGACAGGCATATGAATGGATTTCTGTCGCAGACCAGAGCTAAAAATAGAAGTAATTATTCTACCTTGACACTACTTGTTTCGAGCGCGCTGTAGTTCGTAAACTCTTATCCCCAAATAATGAATCCATTATCAGAGAAGGCGCACCTTGACATCAGAAAAGTTGCAGCCGTATAGATATAATATATAGACAATTTTGAAAATTCTGAGGTTTCGAAAGGGCCTTAGACTCCGGCGAAATCAAAAATCTTATAGAGTCTATGAGCACGAAGATTAGCAAGATTCTGCGAAGCCCTATTTCGAAAAATATTAGCGTCCAAAGGGCGCAAGTCAAAATTCCATCGAATCCCGTGCATTTAAGAGGTCCAATGGTCTCCAGAAGCCCAACAAATCTTATGATCTAGAAGAATTTGGGACATTTTATGACGATAATTCAATGAGAGAAAGCGCTTCCAAAGTGTTGCTAACTTCCCTCGTCTGCCACAAGCTAAAGGAAAATTTCAAATGCATTAACCGAAAAAGCATGGTCAAGTTTCAGTAGGAAAATAAAATTAAATATTTGAGTACATCAGATTTTCCGCACAGATTTTGATAGCTATATACAGGTCACCGCTGTCAATTCGGTATGCTTGCGATTAGAGAGTTAGTTTATAATTAATGAAGTGTCTCGTGAAATACTAGTTAGCATTAAGCGCCTCTTGTACGACTGCCCGGAAGATTGATGTAGCGAAAAGTCGATTTTGATTCGGAACAAATACAAAATTACTCATTCGCGGAGTTTACGTAGAGAGGCGAAATCGAATGTACCAATCGTGGCATAAAGCAATTCGAATGAAAACGTGAAATCGAAACGTAAAATTGAGGTAATGATTTTTACTTCTCGTTTTCATAATAGGATCTGATAGGCTTGTAGACGTTAAAAAATCGAAAGAATTTGAAAAATTGAAAGATTTCGATGATATGTAGAATATGAAACAGGTGAGAAGACCAAATTAAGTTGTAGAAACCGAAGCATCCTAAGAGTTAAAAGAAACTTCCGAAACACATTATGAAGAAACAGATAAATCCCAGGAAGTTGCAAAATCCGCAGAATTCGAAAATTTCGAAAGTAGACGCCACCTATCTCACCTTCTGCCATTTTCGGTTACTTTTACTTATTCTCCAGGGTGGGCGCATGAAGGATTAGTACGTAATAATTGAAATTATCTTCCTTCCTTCGATTTTCCACGATGTCTGGTCCTTATTTTTCTTTCTTCCTTTTGTAAAAACCATTATTTTTGATTTTTCTTTCTTCTTGCGTACCTTTCCAACTGTGTGATCATTTCCATAATTTCTGATTGCTTTGTTGCAAGGAGCACCATGCCATCCGTGTATGTTAATGACCATGTCTTTAGTCCTCTACTACTTGCCATTTTCTTAATGCTTCTTCCAGGTCTGCCACATAAATGTTGAAAAGGGTTGCACTTAGCGGACATCCTTGCCTGACTCCATTTTCCGTCCAAAAATAGTCTGTGTATTTGTTATTGACTTTAACTTTACTCTTTGTTTCTCTATAGATTTCTTTAATCCTTTCTATTGTGTTGCTGTTGATATTTTTCTTTTCCAAGCTCTTACATAATTCGTTCCTGCCTAGATTATCGAATGCTGCTTTTAGATCTATGAATATGGCGTAGACTTTACCTCCTTTCTTTTGCATTTCTTGTTGTACTGCGTGATTTATTATGTATACGTTGTCCATCGTCCCCCTTCTCTTCCTTTGTGTTTCATCTAGCATTTCTTTGTCCACTACTTCTTCATTTAAGCGGTTGTTTAGTATTTTAGCGTAAAGTTTGTACGTTGAGTTTTAGGAGTGTGATTCCCCTATAGTTTTTGATGTTACCTTTGTTTCCTTTTTTGTATATTGTGCATGTTTCTCCTTCTTTCCAACTTTCCGGAAATCCTCCTCCTCTCCATACCCTGTTAATAATTTTTATGATTTGCTGTATCACGTTTTCCGGCGCATGTATTATCATCTCATTTCTTATTTGATCTAGTCCAGGAGCTTTCTATTTTTCATCTTTGCTATTTCTGCTTCCATTTCTTCTTCCCATATTTCTTCAGCCTCCTTTTTGTTGTTTTTTCTCTTCTGGAGCTTATCTGTCCGTTTACCTAAACTTTGTATAAAATAGTTTTTCCCTTCTTCTTCTCCAATGTCATCCGGTGTCCCTTCTTTATTTTTCCTCCCTTTGTTTATAAATTTCCACACTTCATTTTCGTTTTTGATGCTTTGTATTTCGCTTATTTCTTCTTTTTGTAATTCTTCTTTTCTGCGTTTGCATGTATCCTTATATTCTTTCTTCTTTGTTTTGTGCTCTTCGCTTGTTTTTTTTCCAATTTTCCAAACCATTAGGGTTTTTTTGCAATTTGTTTTTTCTCTTTACATTCTGTGCCCCACCACTTGCTTCTTCCTGATGTCCAGTTGTTTATTTTTGCTGTTTTTTTCTGTCACCGCTTTAGTTATGGCCTTTTTGATTTCTTCTAGTGCAGCATCACATTCAGTTTCATTGAATTCTATCTGCTTTAGATGTTTTCTGTGTTTTTCTATTGTTTGTTCTGTCCCGATTTGTCTCATTTTTGTAATTTCTTTTGTTTGTTTCCTGCATTGTGTCTTTAATCGTTGTGGATATTGGTTGGTGATCGGATTCTATTCTTTGGTCTACTCGAAATTTTTTTAAGTGTTCTTTCCCTTTTTCATTTAGAATAATAGTTTATTACCGACTGCACCCTGCTTCTTATGTATGTATATTCTCCCTCTTCTCCTTTCACGTTTCCGTTGTGGATGTACCACCCTTTTTCTTCTACGAAGTTAATCAATTCTTTCCCTTCTTTATTTGCCACGTAATCTTTTGATTTTCTTTTGTTGTCTTCTTCTTCTTCTTCGTCTTCTGTGCGAGCGATCCATGACCCTTCCTTGCCTATCCGCGCGTTTAGATCCCCTCCTATTATTATAACATCATCTTCCGATTCTTCTATTATGTTATTCAGCACGTCCACGGTCCTTTTCATATTCATGTGATTGTATAATGTAAACACTTTTCATCATACATCTTTTAGTATCATTTTTCTTTCTTGTATTCCACTTTCGTGTTGCCGCATACTTTTTTCAGATTTTATCGTTTTTCTTACACCGGTTAATATTCCTCCTTTGGCTCTTCCTTTCTTGTTTTCCCTTCTGGCGTATTGATATTCCCATTCAAAATCTTTTTTTCTCCCAATTTTCCCAATATTTTTCTTCTTCCCGTACTTCTGTCATGCCGATTACATCATAAGTTTTCACGTACTCTCAAAATTCTTCATCTTTGTTGCTGATTCCCGCCACGTTCCTGAATCCAATTGTGATGTTTCCTTTTTTTGTAATGTTTTTTTTTTCTTCTTCCTTTTTTTTTGTTTGTTTTTGTTCGTTAAATTACCATTTCTTTCGTCCCACTTACACCATGTATCATTTATCATGAGCTTCATATATCCCATTTTTGTTGTATTGCCTTTCTCTTTTTCTTCCTCCATCCTTCCTCGGATCTTCTTTTCCACTTCTCTTTCTGTGAACGTCAGGTCGATCTCGATATATACCTTTTTATCTCTTAGGGCTTGTCTGTTCCTCATGCTTCCATTTTTTTCCTCTCAATTTGTACATTTTATTAGAATCCCTATTTTTCGTTCTCTATTTTGTATTGTACGGGTTTCTGTAGTTTCATTTCTTAGGAAATTTCTTGCGTCGGTTTGCTTAATATTATTTGCTCCTCTTCCTTTAATTATAACGTTATTTTTTTTCTTGTTCCTTTCCTCTTTTTCCAGTCTCCATTCTAGTTTGTCTATTCTCTCCGCTAGTTCTCGTTTTTCTTTGTTCCATTTTTCTTCCTTCTCTTGATTTTGCCTCTTCAGTTCATGCATTTCCTTTTTAAACTCTTCTCTCATTTCCGTTATTTCTTTTCTGACGTCATTTCTCATTTCTATCATACTCTTGTTAAGGGTTAACATCGTGTTTTTAATTTCCTCCATGTTTTCGGGTTTTGCTCCTGTTTTTCCTTTCTCTTCTGTCTTTGTTGTGGGCGGTGATCGGTAGATTTTGCTGTTTTTGTTTTGTGATTGTTCTAGTTCGGTTTCTAACTGTTTCCTTGCTTCTTCCTCTTCTTCTCTTCCTCTTCTCTTTATTAAAAATTCTTTGAGATTTCCTGTGCTATTGGCTCGTGAATGTCTTTACTGTTTTTGCATTCCTCCTTTCTGTATTCCACTTGCGCTTTCTGCGTTTAGCAAGCTAACTTCATTTCGTTGTTATCTATGTTTTCTAATCCCTTTTCCCTTGTTGTCTTTAGTTCCTGTGGATTCCCTGGCTGCTCTCCCCCTATCCCCCCTCTCTCACTTTCTGCTGTCAGCACGGTTGCGTACTGCGCGCTATGGTGTGTTGCCTATCCTCAAAAATTTTGGTGCGCTTCCCGCTACGTGACGTTAACTTTTCTTATCTCTCCTTTGCATGCAACTTTCGTCCTTTCTTATAACCTATAAAGTTACTCCTATTCTAGGTTTTTCTACTCCCTGTTTTGTTGCTTAGCCTACTTCTGATCTCTCCAATTTTGTATTGCAGCTTGATACTTTTATTACTCTTTCCTCTTTTGTGTTATCACACTTCGCATTGTCCCAGTCTGGCTTCGAAATTCTCGGATCCTCCAAAATACACACAGTCCACGTCTCTCGCCCACACCCAAGTTTTTTCCAATTGGGTGTAGTTCTTGTTTTGTAATTATATTATTTTGCCTCGGCTGCTCGTCGGTTAATAACCCTCTTTTGGCTTCAAGAGATAAATGAATAATCCTTATTAGCTTTGATTTGGTTCTTATTTTTCTTCGTCTTTACTGAGGCGAAACGATGCTGTAAGGTAAATGGTTAATTAAATCACATTCATTTCTAAAAACCATACTTCGAATTGGTAGGAAATATTCTAATTTTGACAACAGAAAGACCTACGTCCAACTCAGTGGGGTTGTACAACAAAATTAATATTTTACTTTTAATAGTTTTAACATTTTTAAATTAATGTTTTCCTTTCCTGTTTTCCTGCAGGAAAATTTCAACAAAGGCTAGCCGATGTGTCCGAATACAAGAAGAAAAACCACTGAATCTAATTGTATTTGTCGCCGAACAGCGGAGCTCTAATGAAAAATCTTTTGAACCAAAAGTGATACACTTACCAATGAACGACAACATTGATGTACATAGCAATTACACATTTAATCCCTCAGAATAAAGTAAGCGTGCGATAAAAGCAATTTTAAACGAGCGCATTAGTCACTTTTGTATGAAAAATGGTTTCGTTTTCTATTTGTTTCGTACCTTATATAATGCCATCGATTTTATCATTAGCATAGCATGAGTCCTAGCAAAACTCTCCGCTTCTTTCTTAACTTGATATTATTAATACATTTCAAATTTTAACTACGAAACTTCCACAAAATAGCAATTTATCGTGGAAACTAACGGTATAAATATGCAAAACAGAAGTATGTAGCTTTTCGGCGCTGACATCGCCGTATCAGTGCGAAATTAATTATCTTTTCGGGACCATTTGTTAATTCTATCTCGTATAGCGAGTTTCTCAACCTCAATTTTTCCAAGGGCGCGGTATGCGGCAATTTGAGTTATTTACAGGGAAGGTTTGCGGATAAATACCTGCGGAAACTATGCGAGACCGGAGCACTTCGCAAACCGGGAATTTTATTCTTTTTCGACACGCGAAAGGAGGACAGCGGGTCCGGTAAGTTTGAAAGGACTCGGTTTAAATTAATTATTGTTTTAACCGATGGAACATTTTGCGGAATGTACCTTTTTCGAAGTTCAAAGGTTTACGGTGCGGAGAAAGTTGAAAGAGCTTTTTCGTTGGCTTTAACATTTACGCTACGCATTTACAAAGTCGGTATCGGCGAAAGCTTTTTAAAAGTTTTAGGAAACTTGGAAAATATTCAAAAATGTGTTGATAGGTAGGATAAAGTGTCAATTTAAACCTAATTCCGCTTTCACGTTTGGTTGCGACCCTGATTTCTGCAGTTTTCGTTAGTCTCTAGTGCAAGAGCTATGGGATATTGACCTCAACTAGTAATGAAAGAGTCTATACAAATCCAACGAACCTGAGGAAGTTTAGAATATGAGGGACATGCGAGAACTTCAAAAATCCAAAAGATTCGGTAAATTTAAAGCATTCAAAAAGCTAAACGGTTCGTTAGGAGCTTGGATGCTAGTCAGAATTTCTTGGAAAAGTTTCGGCGTATAGTCGGGAGGCAAAAAGTACATACATAATACTGATGATAGCTAACTTTCAAAGTTTCATCCAAATCTCGAATCGTGCAAATTCCGAAAGCTCCCGAAGACAAATCAACCCCTATAATCATTCTACGGGTAAAAATCAGACGTGACAAAAATTGTTTTCTTATTAAAAAAACAAAATCGAAACCATACGAGCGGGAAATTTTCATTCATTCATCTTCTCGATAATTTTTAATTCAAAAATTTACATGAAAATTGCTTTTCCTTGGCGAAATGTGCTAGCATTCGTTTCACACAATATTAGAAGGGGCACCCAATATGTCCCCGATACATGATAATGATCCTTCACCTAAATATAGACTCAAACGCTTGATCGTATTTAGAGGGTTCAAAGGATTTTGACTTTTTTGGATTACAAGTACTCGTTGCAGCAGATATTAAGTTGGCAATTTTATCTTGCAAGAATCTACTAGGCGTGTGATCACTTCCCTTCATGACTAGGCTGATACAAAATCTGTAAAGTATAGCTATAAAAAAAAGTAGGTAAGTAAGTATATTCGCAAGCGGAAAACTCACAGGTCAACAAAATAATTAATCCAAGACTCGAAAAATCTACGCAACAAGAGCTAATCGCGCGAGCAAAGTTTACATCTCTCCGGAATCCAAATACTCTTACCGGAAAAGCAGACAAAGCGAAATTATAGTTCCTACATTTTTAACTTTAATATATTTGCTCTCCCGTCATAAAAGCACCATTAAATAAAATATTAGAAATGGACGCTTTAATGCCTTCGCGTAATAAATTTTATACCAGACATAAAAATAGGGTGAATTTTCGAATGCAATCTAGAGAACCGCACGACCCAAAACGTGGAAGCTGTCGTTGAAAATTAAAACAGAAACGTAGGGAACAATCGCTAAGATTGATAAAAGTAAAAAAAGAAACAGTGACAATTTTTCACTCGCAGAAGTAAAAAGATTTAGGAAGTGTCGTTTTACGTCAAAAAATGTGTAGCGATAAAAATGTATTGTGAGAAAATAACCTCTTTAAGGCCCTTATCTTTAACGTACTTAAACTTGTATAAAGAAGACAGTTTCTTAGACAGAAACGCCCTTTATCACTCTGTCAGAGTTTCTTGAATACGGAACAACTACCTACTAACTTAAAAAAAAAAGGTGTGTATCTACGGGAACGGAGCGCACAGTTTTCCATTTACTATTTCGCCGTTGCCGGATTAAATATTCATCATTTCCTTTATCATTTTTGAATTATAAGTGGAGCAGCTGAATTGTAAATAGACTGCTGCATTTGCGATCGTGCATTCCATTTCCGCATTTCAATTCTTGATTACTGCGCGCCTTTAATGTACCCTTTTCGCAATTTTCTGTTTGTCTAGTGTATGCTATTTACTATTTAAAAGCTTTGAGCTCGTAATCCAGTCATCATAAAAAGATCATATCAGAATGGCGATTGGCGATCTCAATATTAACATAGCGAGATGGCAGCATCGTCGATATTGATTGTTTACAATCAAAACATAAACCCCAATTTGACCTCACGAGTTTTAATACACCAGACAGCGTCACTGCTCTGCTTTCTTTCCAGCAGACGACCAGCTCTATCTTGTTACTTTCTATAAACTTCTTTTTTAATTCCTCATTGTCACCATTTTTTACTCTTGCAATTTTTGATCTTTCTTAAATTCCCGGATCTACCACATTTGATTCTATTCTATGGATTCGTCTTTCCGGGA